GTTTTTTTTTTTTTTTTTTTTTTTTTTTTGGTAGAAATCAGCAAGCAGATTCTAAAATTCATATGAAAATAACCCGAACAACTTGTAAAAAGAAGATCCACGTTGGAGGGCTTACACGGGGGACTTGAAGACCTGTGCACATCCAGGCACATGACCTGTGGCATGTTACCATGGGAATAAGAAGTTTTAAGTCTGCTGTGCTGGTGCAGGCCTGTAGTCTCAGCTACTTGGGAGGCAGAAGAGGAAGGAGGGAGTCTGAGGACAGCCTGGGTGACACTGAAAGTGACCCACCTCTGTATCTCAAAAAGTTTTTTTTTTGAGACAGGGTCTCACTATGTAGCCCAGGCTGGTGCTGGGATTACAGGGGTGTGCCACCATGCACGGCTCAAAAATAGTTTTAAATTCAATCTCTTTTATGTCTGGCTTGGGGACAGCTGGATTCTCATGGTGAAGTTCTTGTGAGACACTTCTGTAAAGTGTGAGAAGAAAATCTAGCTTCATACCACCCTCACATAATTGCAAATGAGAGGGCTATTTTAATAGGCTTTTTAAGAATTATAGATATCCTGCTGAGTGTGATGGTGTACACCTGTAGTCTTAATACGGTGGGAGGCTGAGGCAGCAGGATTGAAACTTTGAGCCCAGCCTGGACAATTTGGCAACTTAGCTAAGACCCTGCCTGTCTCAATGTGAAGGTCCTGGGTTTATTATCTAAGTGTGGATTGTGGAGTCTTCCTTGGTATCTCAACAAATTTGGTGAGCTCTAGTTTCTTATGTTGTAATGTGAATCTATACTGATGATTTTTTTCACAGTCCATTAGTTTTAAGTTCACTGGTCTGTGCATTTTGATTGGGTATTTTACCCATGTGTGATTTGTAACAGAGAAAATATCGTGTGCATTGTAAAATACTGGTTAAAAGTTAGGCAGATCTCCCAACTGTTGACATATTATTTAACATCCAGAAATTGCCTTCTCTGATGTCACCACCCATCTCATTAGAAGAGTCTTTGCATATTGGAAAACTTAAGGGCCTCACCGCTGATACAATGTTTCCAAAATTCTGATTTCTCCTGAAAATTCAAATATTATAACTTTTAACAAAATACTTTTACTTGGTTGCTTTCCCTGATGTACCAGAATCACATTTTTTACTATTTGCTCTTCGATACTGAATCCCGGTTGTCAGTTCCTCTCTTTGTTCCCCAGTCGGTCCACACTGGCAGCCGGATTGGATCTGGACTTATTCGCTGTCTTGACTTTCGCAGAGAAGATGAAATCAGCGGCTCGGATCTTCGAAAGTGGCTACCAGCCTGAGCCACTGACTGTGGAGGTCGAGATCCAGCTGAGCCAGGTCCGCTCGGTGGAGGAGGCGTGCCCCACGTCATGGTCATGGTCATGGTCACGACGGCCTGGGCGCCTGGTCCCCTGCCAGGACACGGCCGTCGCCCTCACTGGGAGGGACACGGCCCATGAGCTGCACTTCAGCTGGACCGCTGGCCCTCTGTCCCCACAGCTCTTTATGGCCGTCGCCTTGCGAAGGGCCCTGATGTTGGCCCTTTCCTGCCTTGTAGCTGTACCACGTCATGGTCATGGTCATGGTCACGACGGCCTGGGCGCCTGGTCCCCTGCCAGGACACGGCCGTCGCCCTCACTGGGAGGGACACGGCCCATGAGCTGCACTTCAGCTGGACCGCTGGCCCTCTGTCCCCACAGCTCTTTATGGCCGTCGCCTTGCGAAGGGCCCTGATGTTGGCCCTTTCCTGCCTTGTAGCTGTAGCGGGTTGGGTCACTTTCGCCCCAGAAACGAGCACCACCACTTGGGATTCTGGGTCCCCTGAAGGATGCCCCAGCACGTGGAGCCTTTGCCATTCCGGGATCCCTGAGGTGGCCAGGCTGAACCCCCACTCTGCACCTTCACCCGCATCCCGGCCCACCATCCGCAGCCCTCCACCTGTGCCAGGGTGGAGGCAGTGGAGATTCTTTGACCACCCTGCCGCCCTCAAGGGGCGCCGCTCCTCCCCCTGCTGCTCCCCTGGCCTGGCCCAGCTCCCCCTCATCAGCAGCTGTTTAAATGTCCCTTGTTCGGGGGGCGCTTTCACTGCTGCCTTCTCCCCCACACATCTGGCTGGAAGGCATTTTGCGGCTTGGGTCAGCCTGGTCCCTTGGGGGTGGCGATCCTGTGCCTGGCACAGGGGCACTAAGCACCATGGTGGTGGAGGTGGCGTGGATGGGCGGCAGGTGCAGAGGCAGAAAGGTCAGGATGGGAAACTGAGGCCACGGGGGACCCAGGGTGGGTCTCTGCGTTGGTCCCACTTCCTCATCTTTTGAGTCGGTGGGAGTTGTCAGCAGGAAATCGGAGCTCATTTCGTGGTGAAGTAGCCCCACAGCTGAAGTGCCGGGTGCCAGCAGGCTGTGTGAGGCTTTGTCCCAAACCCATTTAGCCCCAGGAAATCCAGAGCAGTTGGGGCAGACGCACCTAGCTCTCGGTGGCTGCCTGCCGCCCGCGGTGTAGCTGCCTCTCCCTGGAGGCAGGGAGCTGTCATCAGAGACACAGCCAGCGCAGGGCCTGGCATTGGGAGATGGGAGCCAGTGGTCTGATTAGACCCGATGCGCTCTGCATGTCGGGTTTCACGTCAGTGGATCTGACCCAAAGATGGACCCAGTTGCCGTTTTCTACTAAAACTCCAAAGGTGCTTGAGTTGTGGGAAGGGCTGTGAACATTTACAGATCGCTGCCAGGGATCTGAGAGGACGCCGGTTCCAGCCCTCCATGCTGTCAGCAGAGCAGGTGTGCCCGGCTGTCCCGGAGGTCAGCAGCCTGGGCGGCTGGGCGCACAGTCTCAGCTCAGGCCCAGCTCAGGCCCTCCTCCCCCGCAGGGACTCACCATGGTGCACGGGCTGGGCTGGCCGCTGCTGCTCAGCTGCCTGTTTCTGAAGGAGGCTCCGTGGACAGGGGCCCCGCCACCCAATGGCCCTTCTGGGCGCCCCTGGGGTCCCGGCATGGCCACCTCACTGTCCTGCCTGGCCGCGACAGCCTCTTCTGGACCTTTCATCATTGTCAGAACTTCTCCGTCTTGCTGGAGCCCTCAGGCTGTGCCTGGGTCACCTTCCTGCTCCTGGCCACACCGGGCCGGCGGCTGTAGCTGGTGTTTCTCCTGGGGAGGGGGCACTCCCCACACCCTGCCCAGCTGCCCGCCTATGAGAGCCCCAAATTTGACGAAAGCCTCCAGTGGGACTTCGCCGTGACACCGAAGGAGCCGTACCTGCAGCGCAGGGTGGCAGCCACTTGCCCCAGGCCCACTTCATGCTGAAGGGAAGATGATGATGTCTTCGTCCATGTCCCCCATGTGCTGGAGTTCCTGCAAGGCTGGGACCCGCCCAGAACACCAGAGGCAAGTACTTCACCTACCTTCCAGGCACAGGGCCCACCATTCCCCACCCTACGCTGGCGGCGGCGGCCGAGCTATTCCCTGTCCATGTGTCTTTGGGCCTGAACCCCACACACCACGCCGGCTTCGGGACCTTTGGGATCCAGCAGCCGTCAAGTCCTGCCTGTACCGCGGGCTCCTGCGGGTGCACTGCCTTGGGCCCCGAAGATGTGGACCATGTGGGCGCTGGGGGCAGACGAGGGGCTCCCGCGTGCAGCTGCTCTACAGCAGCAGCCCCAGGATGACTCAGTGCTGACCACCAGATGCCCACTCCCTCCCGCACCCTCCCTCCCTCCCCTGTGCCTGAATGGAGGCTGGGGCACAGCAAACACCGCGGGAAACCAGGGCCCATGGGCAGAGAAGAAAGAGGCTGCGTAGGCCCCAAAAGACACACTCATTCTTTTTCAAATAAAAGAAAATTCTCTTTTGGATAATACAGAGAAACGCCAAGGAAAGAAGGAAACAAACGGCAAGGCGTGTGCTAGAGTAAGGCCCTTTATGAGCACCAGGGGGACAGGGATTCACTCCCTCCCTGACAAGTGCACTCCTCGGCCTGAGCTCTGCTCTCACTGAGCAAGCATCACACACGCTCAGGAAAAGCCTGTGCCCGTGGAGAAAGCAAATACCACGTCATACCTGGAAAATGAGTAAGACCGAAAACTCAGGTTAACAGCTACTGAACATTAGAGTGACAAAAAGAGGACCCTGTTGGGGGCCCAGGGTGAGGAGCTGGTAATGAGAAGAGGGAGAGCGCCGCTGTGAGCAGGGTGCCCAGGACCAGGGAAGGGGCCGCCCTGGCGCTCACAGCTCACACCAGCTTCTGGCCCTGTCGGCTGGGCAGCAGCACCGGCCTCTCCTCTGCACAGACAGCTGTGCCCCTGCTGGGCGGCGGGGTCTGGCCCTCAGTCTTCACGAAGGTAGGCCTCGTGCTCCTGGTCAGGCCTCTCGTCCTCGCCCTCACCCTCGGCCTCCTGTGCTCTCTGGCGCAGCTCCTGCGTCTGTGCTTCAGCCAGCTTGGCCTCCGCTTTCTGGCAGAGCTGGCGCACCTCCTGCACTTGCGACTTCACCAGCTGGACGTGATTCCTGGAGGTTATGGAAGCCTGGTCAGCTCCTGCCAGGAGACGAGACAACGGCACTAAGGAGCCGGCGAGGCAGAAGGCACATCGGACACGGGGGAGCCTGGGGTCTTGGGGTCACCTTCCCTGCCCTCCACGGAACGGACAGCCTGCCCGCCATCTCTGTTCAGGTCTGGATTTAACCATCACTTTACTGTCAGCTGAAGGAGCTAATGAATTTATGAAACCCAATTCCCACAAGCGTCTTTATAGCTACATAGCTCTCAGTACTGACCTTTTATGAATTTAAGTTTTTAGTAAGTCATGTTTCTTTCTTCTTTTAGAGACAGGGTTTCGCTATGTAGTTCAGGCTGGCCTTGAACTCACTGTGTAGCCCAGGCTGGCCTCGAACTTGAAGCCTCCTCCTGCCTCAGTCTCCTGAGTGCTGAGATTACAGGTGTGCACCCCCACACCTGGCTTTTTTTTTTTTTTTTTTGGTATGGGGAGTGAACTGCCCCGTGCCAGGCTGGCACCGGCACCACTGAGCTAAATCCTTGGCCCCTTCTGCTGCTTTTTGACAAGGGATCTTGAGTAAAATTTTCAAAGAGCAGCTACCTTATCTTCAGAGATAACTGCTTTTGGAAATTTAGAGAGCGTATTTCTCCCTTTTAAAATGTGCCTATATATAGCAGGTGTGGTGGGTGCAGACCTCTAATCCCCAGCATGAGGGAAGCTGAAGCAGGAGGATTGTTCTGAGTTCAAGGCCAGCCTGGACTACACAGTGAGTTCCAGGCCGGTCTGAAGTACAGAGCAAGACTAGCAAAATACCAAACAAAACAACAAAAGGTGCCTATAAACATATAAAACACATAGAAAGACATTGTTACATTATTACTACAGACAGTAATGGTGAACCTCTTAAGAGTTTTCAATGGTATCAGCGCAGTGCAGCATTTGTGCCATAGGTTTGACACCAGTTACAAACATATAATGGCATGAAAGGTATAGAACACAACTGAACATAATTGTTTTTTTCACTTACAAAGGTGTTTGAGCTCCATCCTTCTCCTAGCTGCTAGAGCACATACATATACATAATCTATCAGTTTGTCTATAGACCATCTGGATTGCCCTGTCTGTCTGCATTAACAGGACTCTTCAATACAGCGCAATCGGTGGAGAATGGCAGGCCAAATGTTCTTATTTCTTACCTTGGTGGAAACACTTCTGACATTTCATTATTAAGTAGCATCACTTACCTTTATCATGTTGAGAAAAGTATTTCCTTAGCTAGGTGTGGTGGCTCATGCCTGTAATCCCAGCACTCAGAAGGCAGAGGCAGGAGGATAGCTACATAATGAGTTCAGGGCCAGCCTGAATTATAAAGTGAGACCCTGTCTCAAAAAACAAAACAAAAAGAAAACTATCTCCCTGGTTCCACTGCCTGCCTCTCAAGAACAAGGTTGTAAGTTCGATCCCTGGCACCAAAAAAAGAAAACTATCTCTTTGCAATTGTACTTCAATTTAATTCATAAATGACATACATTTTGGCATATATCAATTACATTTTCTCCTTTAATTACTGTAAATTATCTCAACTTGTGAATCACACTGACAGATATTCCTTCCGTGAACTATCGCTATATTTACGGATAAATGATTATATTTGATTTACATCTCTATTTAGATACTGAAATAGTTTTTGTCTTGATGCTGCCCTAGTCCAGTTTGGCATCTGTGCTATGCTGGCTTCAGTTATTAGGCTTCTTGCCGCTTTCTTTTTTTCTGGTACCGGGGATTGAACTCAGGTCCTTGTGCTTGGGAGGCAGGCGCTGGAACCACTGAGCTAAATCCCCAGCCCTTTTTGCCGCTTTCTGCTAATGTAGGAGTTATTATTGTCTTTTGTGGTACTGGGGGTTCAGCCCAGGTCTTTGCAATGAGCTACATCCAGGCCTTTTTTAGATTTTTAATTTTGAGACAGGATCTCCCTAAATTTTCTGGGCTGTTCAAAGTTTTGATCCTGCTGTCTCCCAGAGTGCTGAGATTATAGATGTGCACAACTGCACCTGGTAAGGTTGTGTTGTCCTTTATTTGATGCTATTGGGGATTGAACCCAACGCCTTCACTCCTTTTTATTTTGAGACAGGGTCTTCCTAAACTGCCCAGGGTGGGTTTTGAACTTGTGACCTTCCTGCCTGTCAAGAGTGCTAGGATTATAGGAGCAGTCACCATTCCAGTTTAGCTGGTGGTTTTTAAGAAGCATGTTTTCAATTTTTAAATTCTGCAGTGCTGGGAATCAAGTGCAGGGTTTTATGTAGACTAGGCAAGCACTCTACCAGTGAGCTATCCCTTCAGCCCAAGAAGCATGTTCTTAAATTTTATAGTACTGTATAAAGAATTTTTTTGGTGGAATGGTGAAGGTCAGTGAATGTGAAAATATTAACATTACGTTGTCTGTCAACTGTTTTGTACATGTTCACGTGTGTATTTCTTATGCGAAGGACACAAAACTTTATATTTGGTCAAGCTTTTAAAAACTCTTCTATTCCAATCTGGAACAGCTTTAGGTTTTTGGCCTTACTGATCTGTAAGTCTCTGAAATATATGAAACTTACTTCTAATTCCCTCATTTTGCCTTATTACGTAACGCTCATGATTGATAGATACTGTTACTGGTTCACAGTCCCATTTATTACTTTTGCCTTCTTTTTGATTTCTGACATTGCCATTAGCCCTTTTCTGACAGCTTTCTTACTAACTCCTCAGTTTATTTTTCCACCTTTTTTCCCATTTGGTTTTCTCCCAGTACTCTGGGAGGCAGGAAGATAAAAAAATTCAAGACCCTATCTCAAAATAAAATATAAAATGGGATGGGGATAAAGCTCAGTGTGAAGGTTCTGAGTTGAATCCCCAGTACTGTGAAAAATAAGTGAAACAAATTGGCTTAAGACCGTTGGATGGATAGTAATATTTAAATACTTTGGTAAAATAAAAAATAACAAAATTGCAAAGCTAGGCATGTTGACGCATGCCTGTAGTCCCAGAAAGCTGAGGCAGGAGTACCATGAGGTAAAGGCCAGCCTGGGTTACATAATGAGTTCAAGGCAGGCCCAATCTACATCAACCAGTGTCTCAAAATAACCAAATTAGCCGGGCGTGGTGGCGCATGCCTGTAATCCCAACACTTGGGAGGCTGGCGCAGGAGGATTGCTGTGAGTTCCACATCAGTCTCAACTACATAGTGAGACCCTGTCTCAAAACCAAAAAAAAAAAAGAAAAAAAATTAAGGGCTGAGGACTTAGCTCAGTGGTGCTACACCTGCCTGGCAAGTGCAAGGGCCTGACTTTGATCCCCAGAACAACAACAAAAATTAAGTCACAAAACAACACTGCATTTTCTATGCTGGGGCACTTTAGGTCACTGAGGTAAGAGGACAAAGCTCTAGCTACCAGGTACAAAGGCTTTTAGAGTCTGGTCTTACCCAGCTGCATGTCAATCTGGCTACTTACTAGACAGTGGCAGGTTAAATTGTTGCCCAATTTCTTTGGCTATATAAGTGGTAAAAATAACAGCTTCTACTTTAAAGGAAGTGGAGGCATTAAAAGTGCCTATGAAGTGCTTACCACAAAGCCTGAAAGAGACAAATTCTCAGTGATTTAATGATTTGTACTGGTTTTGCCACTATGGTTCTGTCCTATTTCTTCCATTTATACAAAATGCCTCACGTAAGTTGAGTTCATCTCATCAACTGTTATTCTATGTCTTAATAAACTGTCTGGATTATGAACATATGAAATGCTTAAACGGGAAACATTTCCCAATGACCGTGGTTTTATCAGTTTTTTTTCCTTTTCCTAGATTTTTTTTTTTTTTTTTTATATCAGCAATTGAACTCGGGTCCTTGCACTTGCAAGGCAGGCAGTGGAACCACTGAGCTAAATCCCTGGTCCCTTTTTCTAGATCTTGACAGCCTACCTTCTACTGGCCTGGTGTACAAAAGCGTGTATTTTTCCTACCGCGAAAATAAAATGTTGCTTCATTTCTTTCTTTTTTGGCTTTTTGAGACAGGGTCTCATTACATAGTTGAAACTGACCAGGAACTCACTATGTAGCCTAGGCTGGCCTCTGAACTTGGAGTGATCCTCCTGCCTCAGCCTCCTGAGTATATGAGTGCTGGGATTACAGGCGTGCGCCACCACACCTGGCTCCAAATACTGCTTAATTTCTAATAAAGTTAGTCATAATGGGTGTCATGAGTTAATCATCTCATCTAAAACCCCTCATTTTAAAGTAAAATGAAAAAATCAAACAGTATCTCCCTTATAGAAAACAAAAACCTTTAACCTACCAATTTGGTATGCAGCTTCCCCTGCCATTTCTGAAAGACTAACTGCAGTCATCCAAGTGGTTTCCAGCTTCAAGTATTCTTGCTGCTTGGAAGTCATCTGTAAATTTAGCAGAGAGCTTCAGGTGACACGAAGAGGTTTAACACAGTTAATTAGGTGGACTTAGTCAAAGTAGCAGATTCAAGGGCAGTCACTGATTAGACATCTTAATTTGATAATTTAGATGACATAATGAGGCAGGAAGATGAACACAGAAATGCCTAACAATTTTCTGCTTACCTCAACTCGAGCTCCTATGATCACCTGCCACACATCATCTTCCTCCTGTGAATTCATTTTCCCAAGTAAATTTGTATATTGTCGGTACAGAGAAATTAATGTATAAACAGCCTATAAAAATAGAATGAGCAAAATAAGTGAAGCATATTAGAAGGATTAGTGACATTAATACTCAAGGATGTCAAGGCCCTTTATAGCAAATCGGCTCTCCAGCCCTTGTGCTCACTGAAATTGTGCTGCCGTACAAAGGAGAGGCATCTTTCCAGGACATTAGTGTATCTACCTGTAAATCCCATTTCTCTGAGTCAAGATCTCACTATGTTGTCCAGAGTGGCTGGGAATATGGGATCCTCCTACTTTAGTTTGCCAAGTAACTAGGATTACAGGTATATACCACCACACCTACCTAAAATCTGTTTTTTAGCAGGGCATGGTAATGCATGCCTGTAATCCCAGCACTCGGCAGGCTGAGGCAGGAGGATCACTGTGAGTTCGAGACCAGCCTGGACTACATAGTGAGTTCCAGGTCAGTCTCAACTACATAGTGAGACCCTGTCTCAAAAAACCAAAAATAAAAAAAAATAAAAAAGTAAAAAATATGTGCTTCTTGTGAATCAATAAGAAAAATAATAGCAACACAACAGAGAAATGGCAAATAATAGGAATATGACATAAAATAAAAAGAAAAAAATGATCGATGAACTCTCTAAATATAAGTCCAATTTTGCTAAAACTTAAAGGAATACAAATGACAAAATTAAGCAATAAGCTAATAAGTAGAAGATACTAAACAAATAAATGAAAACTCAAGGCTTATAGGCATGTGCCATAACAATGAATGCTTCTGAGTACTTCTGATTACTCTTTTATCTCAGTGGTTTTCAAATAGCCTTCACAGGGAAACCTCTAAGAGTGGAGTTTGGATTCTTTTACCCATTACTGAAGGCAGATTAGCTTGGCTTCTATTTTATATATGGTGCTGTCATGTTTAAGATTTTTCTCTTAGGAAAAAAAAAAGGGTTCCTGGAATAAGTATAAAAACCAGTGATTTAGATCATGGCTCAGCAACCTTTTTTGTAAAGGGCCAAACAGAAACTTTTTAGGATTGTGCACCTTACTCTGCTGAAACTACTCAAACTCTTGAACAGACAATAAGGAAATGAGCCCAGCTAACTTGCAATAAAATGAAAATGCAGCCTGGCATGGTGGCACACCCCTGTAATGACACTCAGGAGGCCGAGGCAGGAGGATCATTTCAAGTTCAAGGCCAACCTGGGTTACATAGACCCTGTATCAAAAGACAACAACAAACAAACAAAAATATGCAACTATCAGGCTGGATCTGGTGGAGACATGGTTTGCTAACCCCTGGTTTAGAAGATCAAGACTTACGAGGAGTCATACCTTAGTGTATTCGGTGATTGCTTCAATCAATGCATAAGTGGTTTGAGAGAGAAAGGTAGAGGTGCTATCCGTTACCAGAGACACAGCCCTCCTCATTAATGCTTCGTTACTAAGAGAATGAGGCTCCGATTTCTGAAAGACATGAATATTACCATTCAACTTTCAGTGTAAATGTAAATGAAGTCCAAGCTGAGAACTTAACCATGGACACTTAAGAAAAAAATCTAAATGCCAGGATTTAGTTCGGTGGGGCCACACCTGGCTGGCCAGTGCAAGGTCCTGAGTTTGATTCCTGATACCTCCCCCTACAAGAAAAAGAAAAATTCTCATGCTGCTTTGTTTTTTAAGCTGTTAACCATACTGCACTTCTCCAGGTTACTTCTTCTTAGACTTTATTTTGGTTACATAAGACAATATAGGGAAGTAACTCCATAGTATGCTTTCTACGTAACTCTCATCTGCTCCAGAGAACAAAGTATTATTTTATTTCTGCAATACCAGGTATTGAACCCAGGCTATGTGCATGCTAGGCAAGCATTCTACCACTAAACTATATCCCAAATCCCTTTTTATTTTCAGTTAGGTCCCACTAAATTGAGCACATAGGGCTTAAAATAGTTCAGGAGGGACTTAACACAGTCCCTTAAACTTTTTTACAGATGAAGTGGAAGGTTAGAGTAGTTATGTGATTTTCCTAAAAGAGCACAATCTAGCCCTCAAATCAAACCTTGTCCTTTCAAAGTCTGTACTCTAAATTATTACATGCTGACTCAAAAGAGTGCCAAAGGAATTACCACCGAAAATCAAATGATTGCTGACTGAGAACTGGGAAAGGCATAGAGAAGAGGTGTGGTTTGGCACTGGACAAAGCCAGAATTACAATGATCAGGCATCATAGCAAGGAAGGAATAAAGAGGAAAAGAAGAATACGTTCGTTACATGTAAGCAATGTCCAGGACCCTCGAGTGAAGGAAGAATCAGATTTTAGTTCTGTAACACAGAATGCAGAGGCACCGGGTGGGGCCACTGTACTATAGGGAAATGATGATAGCCAGAACTGAGGTAACTGGGGCTTAGAAAACAGCACAATATATGAATTGAGAAAGGACAAACCCAGAGTCCTTTGAAGGAAAAGAGAATCATCCTAATAGTGACAGAAAATGGCCTGGTGTTCATGTGAGGATTTTAGGGCTAAAGGTTGACCAGCATGCAAAGCTAAAAGCTGAAATGAATATAGCTTTCAAATGAGCCTCCAAAGATGCCAAAGATAACCAACAATCAATAGAAGTAATTTTGTGATAAACACAAAGGTACCAGGAATATTTTGATGAGATATGGCTTTGCTGGTTTCCTACCTACTTCTTCCTGATAAAGCTTACAAGCCAGTAATTCTTAAAAACAGGTGCTACTTTTATATTAACTGCCTACTTGAAAAACTCACCTAGATGTCTACAGAACATCTTAGATATTTTCTAAAACTGATTTGTCTCCAAAACTGAAAAGTTTCTTCCTTTCAAAACTCATCTATATCCCAGTGAATGTTAACCCCATTCTTTCAATTGATTAGACCTTTTGAAAAAATCTTGTAAATCTAGGTTATGTAACCTATGTCCAATCCACCAACAACTCGTGTTGGCCACATTCAGCCACTCTTCCCCCCACCTCCTCTACTGCCTCCCTAGTCCAAGACACTATCACTATGCCTGGATGAGCCTCCTATATCTGCACAACCACCATTTAAAAACATATGTTAGATCATAATAGTCCCAAGCTAAAATCCTCTGTGGCTTCCATTTTCAGAACCAAAGCCTTACAATGGCCCATAAAGCACACGATTTCACCTTCAGTTAATAGGCCTTGCCTATTATAGACTCCTAACTCATTCCACACCTGTAATATTCACATCCTCACTGCTCCTCAAACATAACTGGTGCACTACTACTCCTAGCCTTTAGCATTTAAAAAGTCCTTCTGGGGGGATTTCTGGGAAGTTGGTGAAATGGTGAGCAGCAGAGAAAGAGCCTCGCCAAGATTTGGTGTCCTGGCACTGGAATATAGTGGCTTGAGAAGGAAGGAAGTCAGTCACTGGGACCCTGAGGCAAGAACTGAAGTCCACAGGGAGAATGAAGAGAAAGACTTCAATAAAGAGGGAGGAAGCAAGTCTCTTAGAGCCCAGATATTTGTCAAGGGAACAGAGGACTAAATCTGCAGACACAACTACTGGTGACCCCAGAGGCCTCCATAGAAACATACCAGTGGAACATCATAGTGGACACAGTAGACTGCAGCAGCTGATGACTTATTAGGGTTCAGACCTCACTCAGGAGAAGGCATCTGGCTGGTAGCGATCTTGGAGAGGGGCCAACTGAGCCTGGAACTTAGAGCAGCTACAGGCTGACCCCAAGTAGTGGCTCCCAGTGGCTTGGTGCAGGTGCTGAGTTCAAGTCAGCAGAAAGGCAGGGAACAAAGTTTAGGCTGGCAGAAGACTTACAGACTATTATAGGCTCAAGGAATTTGGTTCCAGCCTCACAGCTGGAAACCAGCCTGAACTTCAGAGAAACTAAAGGGGCAGGCTGGCTGAGAGTATCTATTACCTCACCTTGAAGCTGTGGATGGCTTGCTGGGATTAATCAATTGGCTATGGACTCTTTCTGGCCACACTGCATACCAGTGACAGTAGAGACACACCTTGAACAGGATTTTTTTTTTTTGGTTTTTTGAGACAGGGTCTCACTGTAGTTCAGACTGACCTGGAACTCACTGTGTAGCCCAGGCTGGTCTCGAACTTACAGTGATCCTCCTGCCTCAGCCTCCCCAGTACTAGGATTATAGGAGTACACGACCACACCCGGCCTTTTCTTGACTGTTTGAACTCGTTTTCCATTGTTGTTCTGTTCTAGTTTTTTTTTTCTTTTATTTTTCCCAACTGTCTTCTCCAACAGTTTCCTAAAGTTTGTCTTTCAGCCTTGCTTCTGATCTCTTCCTCTTCTGTTTTTTTACCCCCTAGCCCCTTTAAAATCTCCCATAAGGGTAAAATTGCCATACTAAGGGATTATGTATTGCATATAATTTTCAGATTTGTTCTAAATTTCATTATATAACTACAAATCTAGTTCATACAGTTAAAGATGGCAAATTAATAGCTACCACAGTTTGTTGTTTTCTAGTCTACATGTGATGCTATTGTGGATTGTACTACTGTAACCAAGGTGACATAACTGTGCTAATCAGTTGTTCCTACTGGTATACCAAGACTGAGACGGCCTAAGGGTCTTAACCAAAAAACCCTACAAGCCAGTGTCACCGAACTGGCAGCTGGGCTAAGTGGTTAGAAACTTGTCATCCCCAATAAATTGAAGAGGTAGGTTCTTGAAACAGACTCAAAACCCATTAGCCAGCTACACCTGGAAGATGCTTCTGAGAAGTAGTCACTTCCTAAGGGTTGTAAATACTGGCAATAAAGCTACTTGACAAAAAGCAATTTACAAGTATCAACACAGAAATCAAACTTTTTTAAAGAAGTAGAAAACGAGAGGACAAACAGAAGGCAACTCCCTCCCAGACTTTTAGCTCATAAAAGGCAAATCCTGAGGGGAATGAGGTGGAACAACACAAAAGCCACCCACCTAGACTCTGAACTTTAACAGCAGAAGTAACAAAGCAGACAATAAAAGCTCTAGGAAAAAAAAAAACCAAAGCAGAAATAATTTCCAAGATGACTACAGAGATGATGACCAGAATGCTTTCATGCTCAGTGACTCTAGAGCAGATATAGATTTTAAAAGTATAGAGAAAGAAAGCGGGGGGGGGGGAGTTCAGAAACATGATCACCCAACATAGTAAACAAATGGAAACCATGAATGTCCAGCATAGGAAATAAATGGAATCCATGAAACAGATTCAAACAGATATCCAGAGATTAAAAACAGCACTGAAGCTGGGTGTGGTGGCACACACCTGAAATCCCAGCACTCGGAGGCTGAGGCAGGAGAATCACTAGGAATTCGAGACTAGCATGGGCTACATAGTGAGTTCCAGGGCAGTCTGAACTACATAGTGAGACCCTGTCTCAAAAAACAGACAAACAAACAAACTAGCATTGAAAGTGTATGCAGATAAATGAGTCAATGTGAGGACAGAATATCAGACAGAGGACAGGACTGAAGTTAGTGATCATGAAAAGAGAGATTTCATAAAAATAGTAAGAGACCACAATAAACCAATCCAGCAGCTGCTATATGATGCAAAGAAAAATAACAAAAGATTGACTGGAGTCAATGAAAAACCAGGAGATGGTGCAACTGACATAAAAAACCTGTTCTCAGAAATAATGGTAGAAAACTTTCCAAAGGGGGAAAAAGAATTTGACATACAGACAACTGAAGCATAAAGGTCACCAATTAGCCAATCAGCCAAAAACAATCTTCCCCAAGGCATGTAATGGTCAAGATCCCAAAAACTCAATACAAGGACAGAATATCAAAAGCTGTTAAAGAAAAGAAACAAATCACCTATAAAGGAAAGCCCATGAAAATCAAAGTGGACTTCTCAACACAAACTCTCAAGTAAAGGAGAGCTTGGAGTGAAGTATTTTAAACATTAAAGGAAAATAAACTCCAACCCAGACTGATACACCTTACAAATCTACCTTTCAAAACTGATGGAGAAATAAGATACTTCCATGACAAAAAACACCCAAAGAAATTCATGACCACCAAACCAACACTCCAAAGTGTGCTCAAGGCTCTTCTAGAAAGAGACAAGGATTCTAAGTCCATGAGCCCCAACAGAATGAATCCCCAGGCAAGGCAAGAAATTAAATAGAAAGGTAAGAAGGAAGCCAACAACAGGAAAATAACATGACAGTGATAAAACAACACATATCAGTTATAACTGTCAACGTTAATGGTCTCAATTCACCAATTAAAAGAAAAAGAGTAGGGCCGGGGATTTAGCTCAGTGGTTCTGCCACCTGAAACAAAGTGGCAGAATGGATCAAGAAGCAAGATCCAACAATATCCTCTATACAAGAAACATTTAATTCAAAAATAAATCCACAGACTGAAAGTCAAAGGATAGAAAACAATATTCCATGTGACAGGAACTCAGAAAAAAGCAGGAGTAGCTCTTCT